ATTAAGAAAATTTTCTTGTTATTCTCCCAAGAAAATATTTTCTTATTTCAAGAAAATTTTCTTAAAACAAGTTTTTTTTTTCTTAAAATAAGAAAATAATTTTTTGCTGTGCAGATTTGTAACAACTTATTTGCAGACCTGTCGGACAACTTGTGCGTTTTTACGTGTGTAGGCGAGATGAATATTTTACCATGTAAACACTTTGCCCAGGTAACTCGGCCGCTCGAGATGGAATGTATGTGCCCTGCATTTGAAATATAATAGCTCAAAAAATACATACGAATCATTAGGTACGTTTTCCTGAATTTTTCGGCGCTATTCTTGTATTTCCACGACATTTTGTAACGTTTTTAACGTTTCAAACGACTTAAATCCTTTTTGTGTTTTGGCGCCATTTCGGCGTCATGTGGCAATCATGCAGCAAATGCCGAGTAACTTGATTCCATATAAACAGAGCGCTTGTTTGTCCCGCCTGGGCGAGTAACTTCTGCAAATGATGGATTTTTTGCAGGTGAAGAGAGCCGAACTCGCAAAAGAAATGTGTGGTTTAGTCTGTATTTTGTCTGCTCTAATTGAAGATAAAGCAGAAACGAAAGATATGGCGAATATAATGGAGAGAATGGAACAGCATATGAGAAAGATTACCGAGGGCTTGAAGGCGAAATCCACGCAAGTGAAAGAGGTTCACAAAAACTGTTCCTATTATGTGATATAATTTACAGTATTATTATTACCAATGCCATAATTATCACCATCATCCTGCATTCACTGAAATATGTGTACCATGTACCATCACGACCATCGTCATTATCACTACTATTCTAATTACCATCATCCTTTATGCAGAATTACCACCACTATTACCATCACGACCATCGTTATCAACACCAGTGTAATCACCATCATCAAATGTTCACCATGCTGCATGCACCATTGTCAATATCAGCACTGCTGTAATTACCATCACCCTTCATGCATAATTACAATCACCACCATCGTCATTATCACCACTAGTGTGATCACCATTAACCTACATGCATAATTACCATCGTCGTTATCACACACTCTGCATGCACAGCTGGGCACACTATATCATCATTGCTGAGGATTTTGGCAGGAATGGAACCTTCTGCCCTGCGAGGCCTATGGTTGCACTTTTTGCAACTGCTCCTGGTTATATTAGGTATAATAAATGTATTAAATTTACACTCGGCAATGGACCATTCCCCCAATTAACCAAAATTTTGATCTCAACAAGTCTAGACAAAATTCCATCACAGCTTGAAAGAGCATCATAAAGTTAGTAATATTCCAAAGTTTCGTTGCGAAATGTTGTAAAATGCGGATAATATAGCCTTGCGAAATTTGCAATTTTCAGTCATTTTAGATTACAAACGGGAAATGGTTACCACTTTTCCAAAATTTTGATCTTATTAACTAGTCTAAACAAAAATTTCATCACAGCTTGAAAGAGCATCACAAAATTAGTAATATTCCAAAGTTTCGTTGCAAAATGTTGTGAAATTCGGATAATATAGGCTTGCGAAGTTTGTAATTTTCAGTCATTTTGTATTACGCACAGAAGTGGTTTAACAACCATTTCCCGTTTGTAATCTAAAATGACTGAAAATTGCAAACTTCACAAGGCTATATTATCCGCATTTTACAACATTCTGCAACGAAACGTTGGAATATTACTAATTTTGTGATGCTCTTTCAAGCTGTGATGAAATTTTTGTCTAGACTTGTTGAGTTCAAAATTGTGGTTAATTGGGGAATGGTCCATTTCCATCTACAAAATCCTTCAGCAATCAGTTCTATCAAGTGAGAATGCCCAAAATCCCAGTACTTACCCACATTATATACAACCATTACTTTCTATATTTTCTACTTTAGAAAAATGTAGAGATTTACGTTAACGCGCTTCGACAAAAATGGGAGAAAGTGAAGTCAAACGACTTGCTCAATCATCTCCAGAAAAAACAACGACTAATGCCTGGCAAGCTTGAAGGAGCTCTGGTAGACATGTCAAGAAGTTTACAGACGTTATTTGGAGCTGCTTATTGTGCTGGTGATACGGTCAAAGGACCTTCTATCAGCATACATCATGCAAAAGCGTTGTACAGAATACAGGAGATGGTTCAGAAAGAATTGAAGGATTATAAAGGATTTTTATCAGTCAAGGGTGAGCGCAATGTGACCATGACAAGATATCCTTTTTTCTCGCACATGTAAACTTCATCTAGTGAAGGGTGGTCTATTAAGTAGGCATACTTATCTAACACAGTGCCCAAGGTAAGTCTGTGCGAGTGTTGCTTTTAACAAACTAGACTGTGCTTGGGTTATGTAAGGTTTTTCTCTAATGCCACAGTAAGATGTTTCTCGAATTTCCCCCCATTTGCAAACCTCATAATTGAAAAATTGATGTGGGAATAAAATTTCCCAGGAAGCAAAGGTTTCCCAACATATTTAGAGGCATAATTTGTTTCTAAGTTTTAGTTTTTCTTGCGCCAACAGTGTTTCCTGGTTTGTCCACCTTCGGAAAACACGGCTATAGGAAAGAATGTTTCTTGGTTTGGGCACCATCAAGAAACATGACTAGGAAACAATGTTTCCTTGTTTGTCCACCTTCGGAAAACATGGCGAAGAAAGAACTTTTCTTGGTTTGGGCACCATTAGGAAACATGGCTAGGAAACAATGTTTCCTTGTTTGTCCACCTTCAGGAAACATAGCTTGAAAACACTGTTTCCTGGTTTGCCCACCTTCGGAAAACATGGCTAGGAAACGATCTTGTTTGTCTACCTTCGGATTAAATGGCTAGGAAACAATGTTTCCTAGTTTGTCCACCTTTGGAAAACATGGCTAGGAAACAATGTTTCCTAGTTTGTCCACCTTTGGAAAACATGGCTAGGAAACAATGTTTCCTGGTTTGTCCACCTTTGGAAAACATGGCCAGGAAACAATCTTTTTTTGTCCACCGTTGGGTTACATGGCTAGGAAACAGTGCTTCCTAGTTTGTCCACCTACAGGAAACATTACTACAGGGTTCCGGTAGCGGTCTTTGAAATCTTTGAAAGTCTTTAAATTTGAATGCAGGTTTTTAATGTCTTTGAAAAGTCTTTGAAGTGTGAGAAAAAGCGAAGAAAGTCTTTAAAAGTCTTTAAATTCTTTAGTGATTATTTGATTATACGATTTCCTAGCTAATAAAATAGATTGATTGAAGCAAGATTTTCGCAAATATCGACGAAAAAGTGCATTTTAGGATGTGATTTGACGGG